CAAATATTTTTATTTATGATCAATAATCTGATTTGTGAGATTTAATTTGATTAATAGTAATTACACAATTAATTTTTCTAATATAAATAACTTTTTGAATATGTAGCCACGTGACGTAAAATTATAGGTTGAGAAAATCTTTCATAATAAACAAAAATCAAGTCAATTCCACAAAATTATAGGAAAATAATCAAAGAAGCAAGTTCCAAAACAACTAATAAATCAAATTTGATAATTATAAATACATGTTAATTAATGTTAAGCAAATTAATATATACAACTTCTGAGAATAAGCCATTGACCTATATATATATATATATATTTATATCAAGTTTCCATCAATTTGAAAATATATAATAACCCAATAACATGAGTTAAAAAATTATATTCCCGTACATATCTAACAAACACGTTGAACTACATCAATTTTAAAATAATCCTCAAAATTTATTGATTGCAAATAAATATGTTAGTTCAACTTTAAAATAATCCTTATAATAATTAAGTGATAACATTTGTTTGCTGAGACACACTTAATTGATTATGTTCAACCTTATCTTTTATATAATATATATATATATATATATACACATATGCAAATTAGTTCACACTTTCCAACACGAGTCAGAAATTTTTTAAGCAAAGATGAAGCTATATATATATATATATTTATTTATTAATACTACAAGTTGATAATAATACAGTTTTATAAGGAGAATATATAAAGATGAACGCCATGTATCCTCACACAGAATGATATAAACAATCACTCCAAAAACTAATTCGAATAATATTAAAACCAAAATTTGGATATTTTGTTTTTGAAATCCAAGAAAGAGAGAACATGGGGGAAGGAGGGGGAGAGAGAGAGAGAGAGAGAGAGAGTAGCACAATTTGCACGTTCTCTTCTCATTCAACTACTAAATGTTTTTTTCTTACTATCTATCCTTCTGGTAGAAAATATATACACATATATATATAGATATATACATACATAGGGTGTGAAAATCAGGATTTAAATTGTTGAAAATGTACTCACGTGGCAGAACCTGATTGGATAGGAGTATGAAAAGAGTTGGCTCTGTTATAAGGAATCCTTCTGGCATTAGAAAGGAAGACCCTGTCTCATTTCTGTTTGTAGATTCTATAAATACTACTGAGAAAACCAATGGCAGTCTACAGTTATTCCATCTCTCTTCTTGGTATCTGCTTTGAGTCGGAGAGAGGAAGGGGAGGAGGCGCATGGCGGAACTAACACTTCAAGCTTTACTTATGGGGAGTGATGAGAGGAAGGAGAAGAAGAAAAACTGGAGCAGAGCTCTCTGGTTGCTTCTTGTTTTGCTTATAATCTCAAGTCAGTTTCTTCTTCTTCTTCTTCCATTCACCTACTGATCTTTTTTCGATTTCCGTATATACTTAATCACTCTTTTCGGGTCTCAGTTAACATGTGTTGTTACTTTGGGTTTTCTATGCTCAGTTGACTTCTTCACTTAGTCACTGTTTTCAGGTCTCAGTTAACTCATGTTCTTACTCTGGGTTTTTTTATGATCAGTTGCCTTCTTTTACTTAATCACTCTTTTCATATCTCAGTTCATTTGTATTCTTACTTTGGGTTTTCTATGATCAGTTTCACTCTTTTCACTTAAAGTCACTCTTTTCAGGTCCCATTTAATTGTGTTCTTATTCTAGGTTTTCCATGCTCAGTTGACTTTTTTCATTTAGTCACTGTTTTCAGATCTCAGTTAGTTTGTGCTGTTACTTTTGGGTTTTCAGTGCTCAGTTGACTTTTTTCTGTGAAATGATACTCGCATAACCAGTGACATCTCAAACCGATACAGTAATGAAGAAATTTGTGGTCAAAGTTTTATGAGTTATCATACTCCATGCTCTTATCCTACCTGTTTCATTTTATTGACCCCGGAAGAAAGAGAAAATTCAATTGAATTTGAATTAAGTGAGAAAAGAAAAGAAAAGAAAAGAAAAAAAAAAACAGAATCATTTCACTATTTTCCAAGAATGGGGAAAGAGAAATTTAGGAGATATTGTCACCATGGAAAAAGTAAAGAATAACAACCTAGCAGAGAAGAAAAGGGTGAGATTATTTAGTATTTTCTTAATCAAGGATCGGATTATGATGACGTTTTTTGAAAAAATGAGTATGGCAGCCTTCAGATACAGATAATATTTGTAACTAACAAAGCTTTGTAATTAGCCCTTTGCGTAACATTGTTTGTTTTTCAGTTTTAGGTGTTCCCTTTAGGGAGAATATAAGTAGGCGCATACTGATACAAGAAAAGAAACAAAATGAGAGGATCAATCACAATGTGGATGACACTGTTGAGTCCGAAAGAGGTGTTGTTGCTGCGGATGATGGTCGGTGTTCTAAAATTGGTGCATCCATGCTTAGACAAGGTGGACATGCTGTTGATGCTGCTGTGGCAACTGCACTGTGTCTTGGTGTTGTCAATCCAACGTCTAGTGGAATAGGAGGTGGAGCTTTCATGGTTGTCAGGTCTTCATCAACTTCAAAGACTCAAGCTTACGACATGAGGGAAACTGCTCCCCTAGCTGCTTCAGAGGTTCGGACTTCTCCTTTCCCATTTCTAAAATGCTTTTTTGTCCCTACTTTTTCAAACATAAATCTATTTCAACCAAAGAAATAGCTATCACAAAACTTGCTGCTAGTTCTATCAAGTTGGTCCATTGTTAAAATTGGATCCAATTCTGTGAGACCTATGATTAATACCCAATGTCCAAATCATCTGACATTAGTTGCTTCTCTTGATCGGTGTAACAACAAACAGAATATGTACGAGAGTAACCTCACAGCCAAATATGTTGGTGCATTGTCAATGGCAGTTCCTGGTGAGATAGCCGGCCTTCATGAAGCTTGGTTGCAGTATGGACGTTTGGCTTGGAGGACCTTGTTCCAACCTGCCATCAAACTTGCGAGAGAAGGTTTTGAGATTGCTCCTTATCTTGGTTTACATATATCTCAGTTTGCAGATATGATCATGAATGACCCTGGTTTGAGCCGAGTGTTTGCACCAAAGGGGGAGTTGTTACAAATAGGTGACATATGCTACAATCCGGAACTAGCTGGGAGTCTAGATGCAGTGGCAGAACAAGGGCCTCAGGTCTTTTACAACGGGACCATTGGTGAGAGATTA